GCTCTGTTCGCTCCTCTCTCGTGCTGGCAGCAGAAATTGGTGCTGTGCTGCGATCTAGTGGTGCAGCGGGTTCATGGGATTCACTCCAGGCTGGAGACAGGCCCCCCCCCAGCAGGTTTTCCCAGGCTGTTTTCCCAGGTCAAGCCTGATTTCTGCGGAAACCGGGAAATATCTGTGTCCTCGTGCTCTGCACCGACCATTCCTCCCTCGAACGAGAGAAAAATGAAACAATGGACGTTGTTCTTCACACGCAGCAACAGGGAAGGTGGATAATGCACGAGGCAGAAAAGTGCCTTAGGGAATAAAACCTTTTAAATTTGCCACCTGGAGGGTGCTGGAAACCTTCAGGTTTTTGGAGGGGCAATATAAACGATTTCTCTCACAGTGAGCAGCCGGATCACTTCAGAAATCAAGGGATGATTTAGAAATGAAGGTGGCACAGGCACAGCCAGGCTGGCTTGGTCTTTTCCAGCTGAGCAAACTCCTAATCCCCTGGCAGCAAATGAGTAAATGGAGGCACTCGGTGCTCCTCGAGTCACTAGAAGTGTTTGCAGAGCGTGATGAGAGAGATGGAGAAGTGCAGGGAAGAGGGAAAGAGCTTTATCTTTTTTTTATTTTTTTTTTTATTTTTCCCTGCTCCTTCACTTCCTCTCAACCCCTCCTTGGGATGCTGAGGAGGGAACGGTATAATTCAGCTTTTCCATGGAAATAGCTTTGTTTCCATCTTCTTCCCATCCCCTCATGGAGATCAGGAGGCTGGAGAGGGTGAGCACAGGGGTGGGATGCAAACCTGCCTGGCTGGGAAGGTGACAGTCCCTGGGGAAAGGGAGGGAAAACGCTGGGCAGAGCTGCCTTGGGCTCTTGGATCTGTGATCACGAAACCTGTCTGGGAAGAGCAGTATCAGAGCAAAGCTTTGTTCACATCCAGCTGCTGAATATTTCATGGAACACCCGTGTCAGACACCGGAGTCTCCGGGAGCGCCTGGAGCTGTGCCGTGCCCCGGCTGCTGCCAGCCTGTCACCGCCCACAGCGGGCTCTGCTCGGGGCTGTGCCAGGCTGGGGGGATCCTCTCTGGGCTGGAGCACCCCCAGGCCCCAAGTCAGGGTCCCCCCAGCCCCCAAATCAGCCCGAATCCCACCCGGTGGCTCCCTGGCCCAGAGCTGTGAGCAGGGGCTGCAAACTGTGCAGAGGGGCCTGACCCGGGGAGAGAGGGGGTTGTTCGAGGTGGTTTGCAGGGAAATGACTATTTTGGGGTGTTGCTTTGCAAAAACTTCTCAGGGCAGGCTCAGGTGGTGTCTCAGGGGGTGTTAGTTGGTGTCTGTGCAGGTTTGGAAGAGCAGTGCCAGTGTTTCGTTGTGGCCCCACTGATGCCACCCCTCAGGGTTTCACCCACCTCCAGGTTGGGGTGGGCACAGTCTGGACTGTCACAAACAGGCAAATAAAGGTCTTTTTTTCTGCATCTTAAAAGCTGAAGGAAACCTTTCCTGCAATGAAAGCTGGAGCTGCCACCGGGTGAATCTCTCCATGGGGTGCAGAGAACTCCCAGTCCGTGTCCAGAAGACCCGGGGGGGGGGGAAGCAAATAATTAAATAAACCCCCCTGCCCAGCAGGCAGCTGTGGCTCTTGGTTCCCAGGCTGGGTATTAGAAACTCTTCAGGAAGCAAGTAAGGATTGAGCAGAGAAATAAAAGTGTCACACTTAAAGCTGGAGGTGTTGGAGCCTCCCCAGACACGGGTCACTCCCAAAGTGCTCCAGGCACATCACGGAAAACAAACCCAAGGAGGGGGATGACCTGAAATGCTCCCTGGGATCAGAGCAACAGAGCTCTGGAGCATCACTCAGGTTGTAGGGTCGTGGCTGGGGGTTCTTAACTCGATGCAGATCCTTTAATCACCAGACCCAGCTCAGGTTGGCTGCTTTTCCCTCCTTTACTGGATCCATTTATCTCGCCCTTACACAATCCTTTCCCTTTGCTTCCCTGCCCGCGACACACAAATCCTGCTCTCCCGCTTCGCTGCGAACCCGCCACAGCTTTTCCCGGCCCGCCGCTATTCCCAGGCTCCGGAGGAGGTTTCCCACAGCTCGCGTTTCGTGGGGCGGGTTTCGCGAGGGCTAAAAGCGATGCCCCGGAGCGGGAGAGGAGCGTTCCTGCTGTGGCAGCAGGTGGCAGCCCCGGACCGGGAACGGCGTGTGCCGGGCTGGGCAGCGCCTCCAACCCCAGCATTCCAGGGGCTTTGGCTGCGGGAGGTGGGCTTTGCATCCTCCTGGTACTGGGGGTTCGCACTCTGGAGCGGGATGGAGCGAACTGAAGGATCCCTTCTCCTCTTAAATCGTTGCCTCCAAAGGAATTGAGCTCCGTGCTCTGGAATCAGGATGAGTGTATTTAAATGCCAGTCCGGGTTTTAAATCCTCTGTATTAATACTGAATAAACCTGCAGGTGCATCAATGAGGCAAAACACCTCTGCCAGAGCTCCCGTGGGTAGGGGATGGGAAGGGCTTCGTGTCCCAGGCTCTAAATGAGGGAAGCACAGAGTGGCTCCAACAGCCCCGTGATTTATGTCCTGGGGGCAGGAAAAGCTGCTGCTCCATTAAAACAGAGTGCCTGGGACGTGCATCCATCACCAGCTTTTCCTGAAAGGCTCCACGTGTCACAGCAAGGCGCCCACAAATCCATCTTTTCCGAGTGCAAACGCCTTAAAGGCCGATCAATATTTTTCTCAAAGAGATTGGCTGGAGGAGAGGAGCTCATCTCATCTCATCTCATCTCATCTCATTCCTCCCCTTTGCCCGTTCCCTGGTTAACTGTTAATTGGATTGCTGTGGATCTCCAGGGGGAAGGAAGGGAAGGGACCCTCCGTGAGGTCCTGAGTGGGGACAAATATCCTGAGGGGAGCTGGGAAGGGCTCAGAGCACCCCAGAGTGGGGCAGGAGTCAGTCCCTCACCTCCCCTGCCTGCAGCAAGGTCTGGCTCAGGAAGCCCAGGGTCTGGAATGTCCTCCTCATGTTCAGCCTCATCCTTGCTGGGAAACACCAAGCCCTGGACCCAAATTCCTGCTGATTTTACAGCCACCTGTCCCAAAGGGATCTTGCAAGCACAGGGTGAGGTTTCTATTGCATTCAAACACTTCACCTCGAGTTGCCAGTGGTTTGCAACTATTCCCCTTGATCATTTTGCCCCTCTTTGAGCAGCATTTGGTTATCCCTACATAGAGATGTGTGCAGGAGACACATCTCAGGGGCCTTTCCCTCATGTGCACAGGCTTGGAGAGCCTCTGAGCTCTCCCTCAGAGCTCTGCTCACCATCTCCTCACAGGAGGAGCCTCAAAGAGGACCAAGCAAGGTTTTGCTCATGGAACAAGCAGATGAGCACTGTGTGCTGTAAATCAGAGTTTGTGTGGTGCAGGAAGGCAGAGGCCTCCTCCAGATGGGATTCTCTGCTGAGGCTTCCAAAAGCCAGAGGGGATATTTCGGTTCCTTCCCAGCAGGCTGTCTGCAGCCAAGGCCATGCAAAGGAACGAGGAAAAGTGGATTTTGCAGGGTACTGAGCAGCTCGAGAAGTGCAACGTGCCCTTGGATCCCTCTGGAATTAGCAGGAATCAGCACCTGGGAGGAGCAGTCAGCACTGTTTGAGAGGGAGCTCTTGAGTGACTTTCCCCACTCCCGCCCTAAATCCGGCTCCACCACAGGATCCCCGTGGAAATGGCAAACCTGGGTGAAATTTAATGTTTCCAAAGGTGCTGAGCAGCTGCAGGATGAGGAGTTGAGCCCGTGCTTTGGTGACATTGATATCAAAATGTCCCCACCTTTAACGCCAGGTTTCCTTGTGCTTTGTTGCTGATCCCTCTTTGCCCTCGGAGGCAGGGGATGGGTGGCTGGAATTCTGCTCAGCACTGGGCTCTGCACTGTCTCAGCTCTTCCTAATTGATTTATCTGCCTTGGTTTGCAGCAGCTGGGCCGTTGCTGCCCTGCAGCACCTGCTCTCTGAGTCTGGTTTGTGTTACTGCATCCATCACTCACGGGGAAAACTGCAGCCCAAAGCTGCTTTCCCAGAGCCCCTGAGCAAGAGGAGGCCCTGGCACAGGGTGCCCAGAGAAGCTGTGGCTGCCCCTAGAAGTGTCCAAGGCCAGGTTGGACAGGGCTTGGAGCAACCTGTGCTAGTGGGAGGTGTCCCTGCCCATGGCAGGGGGTGGCACTGGGTGATCTTTAATGTCCCTCCCAACCCATTCTATGATTTGCATTGGATTGTTCCATATAAGTAGTTTAGAGGATACATGAAATATATATAAAAAGGGTCAGCGTGTTGCTTCCAGAGAAAGCTCCTCTCTTAGTTCAAGTTTTGCAGCCTCAGCAGAACATTTGGAATGTAAAAAAAAAAAAAAGAAAAAGAAAAAACGCAGGGCAAGGAGAGGCAGCAAAACCTCGCTGTGAGTGTTTCCTGGCTTTAATTAAAGTGACACTCCTGATCACCAAGAGGCTGAAGAGATGTCTGGGCTGCGATGTTCACCTCTGCTGGGTCACTCGGCGGGGGACAGCGCCTGGTTTGGGGCACTCACCAGCTGGCACCGCACCCCGAGCCAAGATGTGGCACTTCAGCTCCTCCCCGGCGGCCCCGCCGTGGCAGAACCGCCCTTGAGGGGGGGATTTGCCCCTCACGGCGGTGCTTTGGGGGGGCCCTGGAGGGTGCTGAGCCCCCCGCAGCCCTTCCCCCGGGTGACCCCAGCGCTCAGAAAACACTTGCCCTTCCCTGCCCAAAAAACTCGAGCCGGTGGATTCCCAGCCCGGGGTTGCGCCTTTGGCGCCCGCGGGGATTTTTCGGGGAGGCAGAGCCGGGGTGGCGCGGCTGCGGCTGCTAATTAACGGCCGCGCTAATTAACCCCTCCCCCTGCCTTAGCCCCCTCCCCGCCAGCCCCTGCCTTCCTCCCTCCCTCCCTGCCTCCTCCTCCTCCTCCCGGGGCGCGCTCGCTCTCCGCCCGCCCGGGAGCGCGCAGTGCGGCGCGGCCGCGCCCGGGAGCGCGCAGTGCGGCGCACCGAGCCCCGCACCGAGCCCCGCACCGAGCCCCGGCTGCCGCCGACCCTCCACTCCTCACCGGGTAAGGGGGTCCCGGGGGTGGGCACTGGGATGCGGGAGCGGCCCGGGGGATGCTCGGGGCGGGCGGAGCGCGGGGCACGGCCGGGCGGGGGGTGAGGGTTGGTCCCCGCATCCTCACCGCGGATTTGGGATCTCGCTGCCTGCAGAGTAACCCCTTCCCCCTCTCTTCCCCCGTTTTTTTGGTGCCTGGACCCCGTGCGGGGGGAGGTGGGTACCGGGCTGGGGGCATGTGATGGGATTTTGGCTCTTACGTCACGACATCGTGTCCGCGCGTGTGATAAAATCCCGGGGTGGCAGCGCGGGGGGACAGGGGGGGAAGCGCAGCCCGGGGACAGACCTTTGTGTGACACGGCAAGTTTGGGGCCCCAAAGCTCCCCCGGGGGACGAGGGCTTTGCCCCGCAGGGAACCCGGACCCGGCGCTTCCCTCTCGTGCTCGGGGGCGGATCCGCGTTCTCCCCTCGGAGACACCCCGGGCTGGCAAAATCCATCCGGCGAGGCCTCTCGGAGGACTCCCGGGCTGGGATGCGGCGCTGGATGGGGCCGGGCCCCGCCGGAGAGCAGCGCCCGGTGCCGGCCAGGTTTGCGATCCGCGTGATCCGGCCGCGCCTGCAGCAGCCCCGCGATCGATCCGGCAGCTCCTGGAGGTGGGGAAAGTGCTGAATCATTTGTACTCCCGGCTCTCCGGGCGGCTCAGCTGCTCCCCAGCTCCGGCAGATGCTCGGGAAGGGGCTGCGGAGGGCGAAGGAAACTCCGCTGCGTGTGCGAGGCCGCGCCGGAGGTGGGAATGCTGCGGGCCCGGGAGAGGGAATGCTGGGCTGGAGCGCGGGGCAGTGTCCTCTGCCGTGGCCTCAGCTGCTCCTTGGAGGACAGGGAGCAGGGAAGATGCTCCTTGCATCCCGGTGAGGCCTGTGGGCATGGCACTCTGGGGGATTATGGGCGAAAAAAGGGAGGTTTTTCTCCAGAAAATCCTGTCCCTGCTAAAACTGGGAAAGGCTTGTGCGTCTGGCTTGGACGGGTTTTTCTTTTTCCTTTTCCTTTGAGCTCGTTTTTCAAGGTCAGCTCCTTGGAAGAGCGCGTGGGCCGGGGGGCACTCCTGAAAGTCAAGCAGGGATGTTCCCGGCTGCTCCCTGGGAGGGAGGCGGTGCAGAGGGGCAGGGGGGATGTGTTGCAGGAAAACCGGGATGCTGCCATGCCCAGCCAAGCCCGGCTGCTTTAAGATGGATCCTGTGGCGCTGTGGTGTTTCCGGGGTGCTCCTCTCAGCTGCTGAGCACAAAGGCAACAATCCTGTGACTTTTCCAGAGCTGCTGATTCCTTTCTTTCTGCCCGAGGTTCTGTGAAACCCCCACCCTTGGCAGGCACTGATGGGCAGCGTGGCTGCTTTGTTCCCAGAAAAACTTCTCTGCCTGGCCTACCCTGAAAGAAAACCCCTCAAACGCAGCATCCTCCTTTTCATTTCTATTTCTGGCCTTTCTCTTCCCCCCCAGCTCCAGGCTGGGCTCTTGCTGACTTCCCTTTTTTTGTGTGTGTGTGTGGTTGTAACAGGAATCCGACATAAATAATGCATGGAGGGCTGCTCAGCTGACAGAGGACGGGCTCAAGTTGTTAAATTTGAAAATAAGACTTTGTTTACAGGGGTTGAGACCCGGGGACTGGCTTTGTCTCACTCGAGCTGCACGATGGGGTTGGTTCTTGGGATAACAAAGCTCCGTCCTCATCCTCAGCCCTCTCAGGCTGTTTCCCGAGCTGGGCTGTGGCTTTGGGATCTGATTTAAACCGAGACAGTCAATCCAATCACCTCTTCTCCCAGCTAATGATTAAATGGAAAATATCCCAAGCTCTCAAAAGGTATTAATTCATAATGAATTATTTGCCTTGCCGGGATCTAATTGTCTTCGCGGGGTCCTGGGCGTAAAATCGATGCTGCTGCTGGCAAAGTGCCACCACAAAAGCTTCCTGCGGTGCTCAGGCAAGCAAAGGTGGGCAAATATCTTTGGTAGAACCGGCAAGAAATGAGGATTTGGCCCTGCCTGGGCTCCTGGCAGCCGTGTGGGGCGCTGGGAGGAGGCTGATCCCACGGGATTCCCGGGAAGGAGGGCAGGGAGCCCCAGGGATGAGCTGCTGGTGCAGCTGCTCAGGGAGAGCAGGGGAGGGGTTGAGGTGAGGGGTGATCCAGGAGGTGTCTGTTCCGTGTGTCAGGGGCTGTGTGGGACCGGGGATGAGATGCTCCAAGTGCTGCCCCGGGAGCTGCTGGTGCTTCCCATGATCCCGAGGAAAGGGAGAACGGACACGGGCGGGAGGCAAAGGGACCTTTGGCGGCTCAGGCTGATGGGAGAGGGGCAGTGGAAGGAGTTTAAAGGAGTTTAACTTTCCACTGGAGTGATTCCCACTTCCAAGACTCTGTTCCAGGCCTGGCTGGGTGACCCTGGGGGAAGGACCTGAGGTGACCTTGGGGGGGGTTTGCTGGGTGAATATTCACAGGTCCCAAGGACCTTGCCAGGCTCCAATCCCCTCCCTCTTCTGTCACCTGTTTGACCCCACTGAGCAGGAATGTGGTAGTTTGGGGGTGTCTCTACAAAGCACTGCCCAGTGTCTCCAGAAATGGAGCTCACCTGGGCAGGAAACTCAGATTTAACCCCACTGTGGTTGTTTGCACTGGATGTCTCTGAGGAACACACAGAAAATCAGATTTTCCTGGAATTTGAATAACAGCAGAACCCGGGAGGGGACTTCTAAAAAACCCAAGCAAGAAACCTCTGGTACTTCCCTTTTGAAGGTTTGTTCCTTGGGTTTCATTTGCTCTTTACCAAAATATCCCCCTGTATCTTCAAACCGAGCAGGCAGCTCCGACCACGGGTTGTGTTCACTTACAGCTTTTGAAAGGCTCTTGCAAATCTTGTCAGGGAGGTCTAGCTTGTCTCCCTGCCCTGTGGGTAACTCCTTTCAAAAAGGATTTTCTTCATTTTAAATGTTGTTGGATGACTTCTGCTCCAGCTTTTCTCTTTTTTTCCCCCTCCTGCTCAAGCAGGTCACACCTTCATTCCTTTACCTTGGCTGTCCAGGATAATTATTGCATAATTTTGGAGATCCAGCTCAGAGTGAACCTGCCTGAAGTTGTTGTTACGTTAAATAATCCCCCTCCCTTTCTTTTTCTTTAATCCAGATCTGAAAGAAACAGTGCTGTGTTATTATGGATTAAAACAGAGCAGGATTTAGACCTCAGCCCTGCTTATAGGGATCACCATTCCCAGTTAATGAGATAGGAGGAGAAGGATTAGCAACTGAACAAGTAGAGATGGGGCTGTGTGGCTAAACCAGGTAGAAGTTCCCAAGGATACAGGGGGACAAGTCTTTGCTTTGTCCCTTTATCTCCCCTCGGTTCAGAGCCCTTTGGATCTCATCCCATCCTGTGAGATCCAGGCCTGTTCTCCTCCCTGTGGGAATGCAGCTGGGAGAGAGCAGCCCAAGGGCACAGGGGAGCAAAGCGCCCACTGCAGGCAGAGCTGGACCAAAGGCCTTGGGAACAGGGAATGGAGAATTCCCTTCCCAAAGCAGAGTCTGGAAATGCTTCCCTGGCCTCGCTCTGCTCCTCAGCCGAGCCCCAGCACGGGGCTGCTGCATTCCCAGGCTGGGGGGAAGAGGCAAGAGGGGGCTTTGCACAGTCAGGATTCAGTGTAGGGGGACACAGGCAGGGCTGATAAATCCCTTGCACTGTCCTGGGTGCTGCTTCCCCACCTTTGGAAGCAAACGTTGCTCCTTACAGACGGCTGGTTAAAGGGAGCAGAACCCAGAGGCTTTTGGTGCAAGGTGAACCCGGAGGTTCATTGGAATTCCTGGCAGGTTTTCTGCTGCTTTCTGCCTCCCTGGCAGGGGGGTTTTGCCATTTTTCCAGCACGGGGACCGATGGGTTCCTGCAGACAGTAGGAATCCTGAGGCCCAGCAAGGGTGATCCTGTCGGACTGTCAGCCTGCATCCTGAATTCCTCCTGAAATGTCCTGGCACGGATGGGCCGGGCTGGCAACTGCAGCGGGAGCTGGGAGGGTGACAGGGCTCTCCTTGGATCTGCAGGAAATGCAGCGAAATCCTCTTTCTGCTCCGAAATGGCCCCTTTCCCTGGCTATCCCATAAAAGAATCACAGAATCATGGACTGGGTCGGGTTGAGAGGGACCTCAAAGCTCATCCAGTGCCACCCCCTGCCATGGGCAGGGACACCTTCCGCTAGCTCAGGTTGCTCCAAACCCTGTCCAACCTGGCCTTGGACACTTCCAGGGATCCAGGGGCAGCCACAGCTTCTCTGGGAAACCCGGGAATGACAAGGACGTGACTGTTGTGGGTGGGAGAGGGACCCTCGCGGAGCGGCCCCGTCCCGTCCCGTCCCGTCCCGCGGGGCTCCGGCCGCTCTCCAGGGTCCTGAACCGCCCGCCGGGGACCCACCGCGAGCTGGGGGCTCTCGTGCCCTCCCCCTCAGCCCCCGAGGTGTCCTCTCCTGATTTCCCCTCGTGTCCAGGGTAAAAAGGCATAACAGGGACACGCTGAAATAAGAGGATGCAAGAAGGGGGGGACGGTTCCCCCCCTCCTCCCTCTCCAGCAGGACTGGATTACCCGGAGAGGGTGGGTGGGCTCCACCCTTCTTGGACAGGTGTTTTAAGCCTGGATAAAGCCCCCACAACCCGGGCTGAGCTTAGGGCTGAGCCTGCTTTCAGCTGATGGCTGGGCTGGCTGACCTGCCGTGGTCCCTTCCAGCCAGAAGTGTTTTGTGATCCCATCACCTCGAGGGTTTTCATCAGCAGGGAACAAAACATCTTGGCATCCCTTTGAGAACCTTCCCTCCTGTACAGAGACTGTCTGTGCTCACACCACCGGGGAACTGTTTTATTGGATATTCACAGCCCTTTTTATTGGGTATTTGCACAGCCTGGGGGCAGGGAAAGAAATAACAGCAATAACACCATTCCCTTCTCCCTCAAAGGTGAAGGCCAGCCCAGGCTCGGGAAGTTTTTC